TCTTCATAATCGATTTGAAATTGTTCATAACAATTGGATGGCTCATTTTTCGCAAAGTTAATCAACGGATTCATGAACAGCGACCCCAAAAACATGAAATTTATTCGCAATCTTCCTCCGATCTGTTCATGTACACAGGGGTGTCATTGTGTCACAGACACAAGGACTAGGATCTTGAACCAAACCATGCCCTTGTACAAGGCTAATACTTAAGCCTTCGCTATCACCGGGCTTGGATCGAGCTTCATTTAAAGTTTCGCTAATGTTAGGTACGACAATAGTATTATCAATTGATAGAATAACAACGAAAAATAATGTCTATTGCTCTGATCATATTTTGAGGGAAACGGAGAATGTTATAATGCAGACAGTTGTAACGATCAGATTATAAAGATAAAGTTATTGAGTCTTTCTGTAACACTGGCTACATTGTATGATGATGTTGAGGTAAATGAGGCAGCAATGTTCTTAGAGATGCAGTAATGCCTACTGGGTGATCTTCATGACTAAACGATCCTTCTCCATCAGTCTATCCATAAAAATCGAGTCAATGGAGTGTTCTATGAGAAAATGTGACTTTTGTCATAAGACACATTGTTTTCGTCAATCTTTTCTCCTCTATCTCTAACCGTCTGCCATTGAACAGAAGAATGCCCTGAACATGCAAAAACGAAAAAGTTACTACCTGTCTCTCATTAAAGATATATCCAAGATAAGTAGATAAATATTAAAAATAAATCCTAAAAAAAAAATATGTATCATTCTGGAATGCATCTCTGCAGTTCATTGATATTTTTCGCTATTCCCAATAGTTAACGATATTATGGCGATTGAATGTTGAACGGGACAGTAATTTACCCGACCATTTCGCACGAAGCCGTGGACAACTCATTAACGACTAGAGGTAGAACGAAAAATCAAATTACTGAATTGATCTATTTTTGTATGCGCAATAGTTTTTATATGAAACATTTTCCTCGATCTCCGACGAATTTACCAGGAATTTGGCGGTGAGGCGATCCAACCGCGGGAATGTGTTCGCCCGCTGCCCTTTCAACTTCCACTTATATCAAAAAAGTCATATGTAAAAATATGCGTCTTTTCGCATAGGCGACATTTTTAGATTGGAACTTTTTTTTCATATCTCCAATCGTTTTTGCGATATCTTGTTTTAAACAATTGAATTATTATAAACAAATAGACGGCAAATATTTTCACAAAAACGTTTAACATACATCCAATATATCCTAAAATTTTCTGGACATCTCAATGGACACAAAAGTGTTCCTGGCGTATGAATTATTATTATCGCATTAAAGAGCATATTGATAAATGTGAAAAACATCCGAGAGACTTGTATTACGTCGAGGTAAGATGGGTGCAACTGAACACAGTCAACTGACCACGTTTGCAACTGGCCACAGGTTTTTCAATTCCGGCAATTGGCCACAACGTCAAATAAAAGATGGTGATCCGTCACCGTTATTTGTGGACGTCCGCATGGAAAGGGACCACTTTGGCACTATTGGAGTTATGTATATGCCGATAATCTTGATCCGATTCTGCAAATTTAGAGCCAAAAATGAACTTGATAGCGTAAAGAGTGACGACGCTATAGACGATCGAAAAAATAATTTAACATCGGTTTAAATGGGAGTTGGCAAGAGAAAAACGTGAATATCTCGGAAAATAGAATCGACAAAGCGGTCCCTTTTCATGCGGACGTCCACATTTGGACTTAGTCTTCTTTATCGACGAAATCGTTCGATCCTTATGTTTAAGAGATGGCGTTGCTATGTCTAAAATTATAAAACATCACCAGATCATTAAATAAACATTGCCCCCGTAACTGAGCCACCATTGATTGAAAAACATCGCAGAAACCTCGTACAATGATCGGATAAAGATCCAACAATAGTTATCGTACTGTGCTCTCTACAATTATCAGACATAAAACATCACCATATCATCGAATAAACATCCCTTTTTTTATTTGAACCGTTACTCCTAGGAAAACATCGCAGAAACCTCGTACAATGATCGTAGACAGATCTAACAATAGTTATCGTACTGCACTGTCCACAGTTATCAGACATAAAACATCATCATATCATCGAATAAATATCCCCTTTTGTATTTGAACCGTTACTCCTTGAAAAACATCGCATAAACCTCGCCGAATGATCGCACAGAATTTCAATAACTATCGCATTGAAATTTCGGCAATTATCGAACAGAAAAACTCACCATATCATCAAACAAACATCACCCCCACATCTGAGCCACCATTCATTGGAGAACATCGCAGAAACCTCGTACAATGATCGTAGACAGATCTAACAATAGTTATCGTACTGCACTGTCCAGTTGACATAAAACATCACCATATCATCGAATAAATATCCCCTTTTGTATTTGAACCGTTACTCCTTGAAAAACATCGCATAAACCTCGCCGAATGATCGCACAGAATTTCAATAACTATCGCATTGAAATTTCGACATTTATCGAACAGAAAACCTCACCATATCATCAAATAAACATCCCCCTTGCATCTCAACCGCCACTCCTTGACAAATATCATATAGACCTCGCAGAATATAATAATTATGGTACTGGAATTTCGGCAGTTGACGAATAGAAAATCTCACCCTATCATGTAATAAACATCACCTCGCATCTGAGCCGCCATTCATTTCGCACGGAATGAATTATATGTGAAAATCATATGTAAAAATATATGATGAATCATATGAAATTGGTCTGTTTTTTATATGGATCATATATATTTCTCCATATTTTTTTTGTACACATACAATAAAATATACAATTTGTTATCGGAGTCATATATGATACCTATATTATGTATATGACATATATGTCTCGTATTATTTGAACATATATTCATTTCCATAGGGGGATTGAAAAACATCGCAGAAACCTCATACAATGATCGCAGAGATATCTAGTAATTATCATACTGGACTTTCGGCAATTTTCAGGCACAAACCATCACCATATCATCAAGTAAACATCGCCCCTGCATCTGAGCCGCCATTCATCCCGCATCGAACACAATATATATCAAAATATATGAATCCCATGATTCCATATTATTCATACATGATACACATATAAGACGTATACATGATTCATATATGAAATTTATATACATCCAATATACATGCAATACATAGATTACATATATTTTTGCAGATATTTTTGTACATATGTAGCAAAATGTACAAGTTTTTCATTGGACTCATATATAATACATACATTATATTCATTACATATATATCTCATATATTTTGAACATGTATTCATTTCTATGGGGGATTGAAAAACATCGCAGAATGATCTTTCAGAATTTAAATAATTATCGTACTGGAATTTCGGCAATTGTCGAACAGAACACCTCACCATATGATCAAACAAACAAGGCCCTTGCATTTGAGCCACCATCCATTAAAAAACATCGCATAAACCTCTTACAATGATCGCACAGAATTTTAATAACTATCCTACTCGAATTTCGGCAATTGTCGAACCGAAAACCTCATCAAAAAAACATCGCCCACGCATCTGAGCCGCTACTTATTGTAAAACATCGTAGAAACCTCGTACAATGATCGCAGGGAGATCTAATAATTATCGTACTAGACTCTCGACAATTGTCGAACCCAAAACATTACTAAATGATCGAAAAAAGTTAAGACTGAGTAGTGATGTAACTCTCTCAGCTGATCAACGCCTTCACTTGCCTTTCGGCCACCAGAATGGAGACGTGCAATTTACATATCCCCACTGGACCGTGGGAAGAAGTTTTATCAGGGAAAAACATTACTATAACATCGAAAAATTCTCGTACTGGACTTCGAGTGATCACTTATCAGAGAACATTCCTGGTCAATCATCGAATTATTGAACACTCATTGTACTGAACTCTGAGTTGTTTTTTGAGGGGGAACATTACCATAGCATCGAAATTTTTAATAGCTAGCAGTTGACAAAGATCGAAAAACCTCGTAGAACTCTAATTTAGGACTGAAGGCAGAAATGTAGAATTGAATATCGTTAAAACATTGAACAAGTCTCGTGATGGTTCCTCGGCATTAGTTGAATCCAAAATATCGCCTTTCTGTTGAATAAATGTCACGGTCAGATTTGAAGATTCACTTATTTCGAAAAATTACCCAGATTTCGTAGGGCTATGGAACTCTATTCTAGACAGTGCAGAGCATTTCATGCATCAAAATCACAAAAAATTTAAGAATTATCGTACTGGATTTTTTCTTTCTTTTGGTAAATTGCCAAAATCTCCTTGCATTACTGCACGCAATTCAAACCGGGACTTCATTACAGAAGATGACTTGAACATCGAATAAATATTTCGCAAAGTTCTGGGGACCCAAGATTTATATCATATGTTGATAAGCAATTTATTTACATAAGATGGTCAACAAATTATCGACCAACTATTACCATTGGACTGTAAATATAGTGAACCGGAGAGTTCTGAAACTCAATGAAAACACAGAATAATATTTTTAAATGGATGAGTGCACTGAATTGAGCGAGAAGGGGGGGGGCAGAAAAGAACCTTTGTCAATCCGAGAAATCGCCTTCATTCTAGTTTTATTGAATCTTGCCGGCAATCAACTTATTTGATGTAGTGATAGATGGTGTAGAGGGTTCTGGATGGAATTGCAAATCGGATGAAGTGTTTATGTATGACCTGCAACAGGTCGATTTTTCGGCTTAAATAAATCCATTCGTTCGACTTCAATCAAGTCCATGTCGACTTGTGACGTTCTTTCTTGGAATAATCAACTTTTCAATTGACAACAACCACGAAATCCGCATTGGTGAAATTATTAGATTTATACTACTTGAAATTGGTCAAAAATGAATCGCAATCACGTCGACGTCTATTTGGATTTCTGCGCTTGAATGGAGAGGTATTCCAAACAATATCATCATCACAACGTTTGCATGACATTATTTATTAAAAAAATACAAAAAATGAAATGTAAGTGATCTACAAAACATACAGTAGACTGATCCATTACAACTTGTTCTGCACATTAGAAGGCACTTTTCTGGACTCTACTTGGAAGAGAAACATCAAAAAATGGTAATCATCATTCATTCCTCTTCACCTTGTCCACTGACTGTCGTTTCTCTCTCGACTTATTTTTATTTCGGTCCTTGACCAACTTGTTCGAGACCCACGAGCGAACCTCCTTCGGGCCAAAATCGAACACCTTTTCTGGTGCGATATCTGGGTGGTTCATCGCTTTGTCCAGTACCTCTGCGAAATAAGTGTTTCATTATGCAATTTTTGATATGTAATACAAAATTCCCCGAGGTGTGCAAACTTATCTAAAGTCTTAAATGTTCCATGAATGGGCAATTCACCCTCTACACAACTTGAATTTTCTACAGGGTATGTGTTTCGTCAGCAGTCTTGGCCAGTTGGTAATTAGGATGGCAGTGAATCGAACTTTCTTTAACCTCTAGAGTGTACCCCCTGAAAACATACGGTCTGTCAAACCGCTATTCCGTACAAAGCATATTTCCCGTTGATTTAGAGGAATAAATCGATACTAATTGTCACTCAAGGGTTGAACTAAGCCTCAAACCGTGTAGATCACACGAAAGGATCAAACCAGGAAGGTACAAACGACGAAGAGTCAAATGGGGAAGAGTCGAGCTGAAGAGGCAAATCGTATAATTGAAATCTCGTATTTATTTTTTTTAAATTTTGGTGTATAAATATCGATTATCATCATTTTTTCATATAAGTCTTATTTTTGACATGAAAATGAAAATCAGTCGTTGAGACATTTCCCATGAAGAATTACACGATTTTAGTGACAAATTTTGAATTTTTTTTTGTAAATTTATAAATAGTTATATATCGTGAAAGCTTTCATAGCGGTCCCACAGGCCAACAGTACACACTAAAGGTTAATCATGTTTTAGATCTCTTTTAATTTTTGTTCGAAATTGATGTAAGGTAAATATGCCTATGCTCCTCCTAGTCCCTATCGCATTGAAACCATTTTCACCGTTTTACGAAATGACCAGGCGTAAAATTCCTTTGAATTGATAATCTTCGTAAATTACGAAAGGGATGGACAATAACCAACAGTCATTCGAGGTTCCGTCATAACAATCAGTTATTAGAAGAGAGGAGAGAATAATTATATTCATATCAACTGATTCTACGAATCTGGGAACTCTAAAGCGATAAGTGAGGTACTAATTGAAGTTTTTCATATCCTCATATCTCCACTGCGTGAGTATAGTGACATCAAAACTCTCCAATAACGATTTGAATACTTGAAAACTCGTTAAAAATCGCTCATTTAGATGGATATTATTATAGGTGTTTCAGATATATAATATCTCTGTATATTCTCTATATATAGAGGATTCTAAGAATATTTCCAATGAAACTAACAGAAATTCCATACACTGAGAAAGAAAATTTCATGAAATTACTGTGCTATCATGGTGAAATGGTTCATTTGGACAGACCCGTTAAAATTCATGTGGCAGCGTCCCAATATTTGATACGCAATAGCAGCAATATTATTCGGATTACCGCGGTAAATTGTTGTATTTTGCAGCAAATTTTCCGATATTGACACAGGATTTCTTCAGCATCTGAAAAAATGCACCCATTTTAGCGTGCTCCATGGTAATTTTCGTATTTTTGTTATCGCCCTGTGGTTGACACATAACTTGCCATTAATTTTGAAAAAATTCGATGCATAGATAATCGATTTCAAAGGTTAGTATTAAACGATAATTCTATGATTCCAGTTACGTTGTGATGTGTTTTAGATTCAATTTATATATTAAATAGTGTCCGCCATTGATGAACATATAATCCGATATGAAAATTACAAATCGATATTGGGACATGGGCAAAACTAGCATGGAGGAAGAGTGAATGAGTATGGAGACGTGTCAAACGGGATCGAGACAAGCGACTCGCGATAGGGACGGGGGTTTTTCACGTGTATCGATCCTCAGTAATTAGAGGATAATAATCATCGCGATTAATCACGCTAGAGGATGCACTTTAGTATATTTCATGCTATAAACCAAATAATTTTTCTCATTTCCATATAAGAAAAAAATTACGTGTGAACAATATATGTTCTCTTAACTTGCCGAACGTAGCAGCATTAACCTTCTATCAATGTGGTGTACGGATTAATTTTGAACGATGCCAAGGGTTTCTTTCAGGCGGGTGAAATTCAAAATATATTCAGTTTCGCCAAAGAGAGAACCTGGATTTCAATAGCGGGAAGTAAGAGCGTAAGTGGGGCTATTCGGCTAAGGTTCCTCCTTCGACAAAGAGCAATTTCATCATGAAATCTGAAGGAGACGGTTGCACATATTTGTAACAAAATCACGGATGCGAATGAATTACAGCTCCATGGTGACAATACATTGAGTGGACTGTCAGATATATACAATCGGTGTATCTAAATCGGATTGGGTAATTGAAAATACGAATCACGGGAAAGGTTTCAAACTGTTAATACCGAAACATTTGTAACAATTAGTTTACATCTGCCTACAGTTAGTTCAAAATGGCAATGGCAAGTGTGACCAAAATTCTGACATAACGTAAATTGAGTAAACGATTTTGGAATGTGATGAGCCTGAACTACATCGCCAACTAACGAATACTGCTGACAAAAGTAATATGCTAGAACGTTCCAGGATTGTAACTTTTCACAGAGACAAGAATTCCCTGGTTCTCAGTATCAATTTCTGGTTGGATTCAGTTATTGCAGTACCACAGAGTGCTGGAGACATTAAAAAGTCATGAATTTGAGTGCAATTTTTACTGCACAGTAAAAAATTGGGAAAAAGGTCGGTGTGAACTTCAGCATTGGTTGCGTATCTCTTTAATACCGAACAATGCTACAGTCAACAGAGGCCTCTTTTCCCATTCTTCACTGTATGATTCTAAGCGAACTAATTAAACCAGAAACTTTTTTTCTTTGTGTTGTTTTGCTGTCCAACTTACGAGTTATCAGTTGGGTTTCCTTGGGGTCGACGAACCTGAATCCCTTCGGTTTCTCCCGAGGCTGGTTATACCGAATCACATTACGTGTCTCCCGATCCCAAAGGTTCTGCACTACTCTGTAGCACATGTCTTGTGGGGTCAATTCTTTCAACAGACTCTTGATGAACAGATCAGAGAGCAGATATTCTTGCTGAGCTTTGGGAATCTGAATAAAAAAAAAAATTATGCAACACCATGGATATACGTATCACCGAATATCCCTCGAGCTTCAAAATGAATCGAAGTATTTTCCACAAACTTCCCTGCATACAAACCATTTTTTTTCACATGCGAAACTTGACATATTCAGTTATAATACCCCGAGTACTTGGAAATTACCGGGTATTTCCCGAATATTTCGTTGTTCAAAAACATGTGCGTGAAGTTCGGCCGTGCCAAACTTGAGTGAAATTGAGAGAAATACCTGATTATTTTCGGACCCATAGAAGCAGGGGAAGCAGGGGGTTTGACATTTTCGTGGTATGAAATTGGCTGAAAAAATGTTTTTTTTTATTACTCAGTAAAAGCCGTGGTATAACCCAAAATTATCTATTTCATACACACCACGTGATTTCAAAACCGTTGCTTCTTTTGGTCGGAATTTGGATGGAAAAAATAATCGTTTGTATGTAACGAAGTTTGCGAGAAATACCCGATCATTTTGAAGCTCTTCGGGTATTATAAGCGATAATTTCCGGTTATACCACGGCTTGTTGCTGAGCAATAAACGAGTTTTTGAACTGATTTCAATCTGAAACAATTCAAGGAGCATCAGATTGCAGCGGTATTTATAAAAAAGAGTGAGGAAAAGAATATCGAATCGCAGCTCCTGCTGATCGAGATGTGAATAGAGAGAATAATCCGCCGAGAAGTCCTCTTACTTTGAAAATTAATCGTGTATTCCCCTTAACCCTCTGCCGAGAGTAAGAGACCAAACTGTATCGGTGTGATCAAAGAAAGAGAAGAAACAATCACGTGCGGCCCAGCTATGTGTGAGTGACTACCGTCACAGACAGGGTTTCCCTCTTGCACTGACCCATGATCGTTTCACAACTATAGGAAACACGTGTGCCTCAGGTTTACACATTCCTCGGAATGGAGTTTTTCACTCATGTTTGTAGAGAAAATGATCAATCACATGTATAAACCACAATTTCTCTTAAAGTGTAGTATAAGAACAATTATTATCTCTAGAGCGAGGTGCGTGGCACCAGACCCAACAGTACTACCGTTGGCTTTGCTATCTTCAATGTTACACACACACGTACAGCCTTGACTGACCTTCCGGTGGGGAGACGGCGATTCTCGTCGAAGGGTTAAGTCACCCTGCTGAGCAGCATGTATGCGTGGAGTTTGGCAACAGTTTGACTCAGCAACCCAAGTTTCGGAAAATACTCAAGAATTTTCAAGTACTCGGGGTATTATGACTCGTGACAGGATTTCTAAAAAATGCAGCAAATTTCATGGATATTTCCTAGCACATTATTCGGTATATTCAGGAGCCTTGGGCACAATTAATAAGTTAATCGTTGAAAAACTGAATTTAACACGTGTTCCGATGACGTTCGAAGAGAGAAAAAAAAAATAATGGAAAAGTGCAGCCAAAGTAACAAAACTTCACTTATGTACGGCATACTTATAGGTTGACTTTCCGCGAAACAAATGACGTCGGTTCAGAGTATTGTTCAGGTAATATTGAGACAAATATTTCAAAGTCAAGACGCACAGCTGTAAATCGCGACAACATTTCAGCTATGGATTGGGTGTGAATAAACGTGGTAAATTGAAACATATGCGTCTTGCACTTCGTTAATTTCGCCGTTGATTCATATGAGCCAAAAGAAATTGAAGTGAATGAAGGATTTCTCGGCACCAAAAATGACGGACATTCAACTATGTGTAATGGCAGTGAGGTACTGTTAATAGATGGAAATTTAATTCTTACTTCAAAAATGTGCTGCTGCTGGTGTTCTGCAAATGCATCTTTAATAGTTTCTTCAATTTTCTCCTCTATTACGTCAACCAGGTGATCGTCTTGTTTCCGTCGTTTTACGCTTATGAAAATTTTTTTTATATCGTTCAATTACATCTGCATCACTATCTCTTGCCTTCATCAACTCTCCATTCTCTTCGGAAAACTCCTTGAGATTTTTTCGAGTTGTTCAATGCGAGCTTCCTGCGTTGAACTGCTCAAAGGATTTTGATGCGACAAGGATTTTGGATTGGACTGATTCACCTGAAAGAATTTTTTTTATTCTTTTATTATGATTATTTTACATCGCACGAATCTGTGCAATCCGACTTAACGCACGAGTTGCGTCATGTACTTTATGTTACAAGTGTGTGTAAACTAGAGGTTAGCAGATTTTATAAAGTAAAATAACGTCCACGATTCGGGCAGAAATTTCGTTTTCCACACGTGTGATTACAAATCTCGCCTGAGATGAAATTTAATTTACGCCCTGATTGCGTGATATACTATACAAAGAATCGAAACGCATGTGCTTACCGATTTCTTCCCGCCGGAAGTTGTTGCAAGGGCCTTTTTGCCAGTAATTGCCATAACATGAGCCGTACGATTATCACCAGATGGCAGTCTGTGTTCTTCAACAACTCGAGGTTTTTTCTGTATGAATATGACAAATACATTATTACTTGGCATTCGAAGGTATTTTAAGATTTTTTAAACTAACTTAGCGCGAGCCCTTGAGAATTATTGTGGTCTCATAACTACAATAATGATTGGCTCCAGCAGAGACTAGCAATTGACGAATAATGGGCAATCGATTGACTCATGGTCACTGCTCAACTGATAATCACTCAAAGATCGATAAACAACCAATGCGATCGAAATATAATTTATCGATAAAAGGGAGGGAGGTTTCATTGAGCTCAATTTCCTTACAAGGGTGTAATTTATGTAGTTTTCAGCATAAGTATAATTTTCGGAAATATGCTCAAGTCGCGCATTACGAGTCAGAATGAAAATATATTGGCCCCACTTACCTTGGATTGATCATCATCATTCTTTGAAACCTGCGTAGGGATCGACTGAGTTTTCGATTTCTGCACTAGTAAATCTGCAAGCTTTGCGAGATCTTCGCCAGGTGGTGATGAAGACAGGAGAAATTCATCAATCTGCATCATAAATAATATATCACTTTAAATTTCTGAGTTCTTGGAGACTTTTCATTTTAAGTATTTTTCATACCTCGGTGTATTAATAATACTCCCCAAGTATAGAAATAACATGTCCAAGAAATGAATTGATCAAGAGGGTGTGCGAATTAATATGAATAGAATATAAACGTTGAAAGAAAATTGGAAATATGAGGAATGATGTGCTGTGCTGAATGTCATGGCGCCAAAAAGCAATAAAGTACCGGGGTGAATAAGAGAGATATTTCAATCCCTCGTACCTATATTCTTTATCGAAATTCGTCGCGCGGCATCGATAATTTTCCGTATTTATTTTCTCCAAATCTAGTTCCGATTGCTAGTTTGAAATTATGTCGGATGGATTAATACATTTGTCTCTACTAGTGGAGGGAGAGAATTTTTTTTCCATTTTTTTATCAAACACGATTGGCAACTAACTCTGTGTTCAATTTCGTCCCGATATACCCAACTGTTTTTGAATATCTCTAAAACTATCCAACCTATTTTAATAGGTTTTTGCGAAATCAACGTATTGATGACGAATAAAACCTTACACATCCTAACACATCATTCAGCAACAGATCTGTAGGTATATGCTCACTGTTATATTTTCGATGTCACCTGCTTGTTTGCAATACCACCGCTGCTTATTTTTTTCGCAAAAAGACCGTCAAGTTTAGGATGTTAAGGTGGGATCAGGTATCTTAGCCAAGCGTTGGATGCCAGTCGTTGGCCAGGGTGGATTAATCGTTACATTTGATATGAGTAATTGAAGTAGAAGTAATGAAATATCACTCCTGTGCATTCGCGATAGGTCCAGAGGAATGAAAATATCGGCATAATATGCGCGGTTCTGACAGCCAAACTATTCATGTATCATCAATAATTGCAAGAACGAAATAATTATCACTTTCTTCCGGCCATTTTACCAATTTCCAACTTATCAGTTGACTTCAAAATTTTAATTATTCTAAAATTTTCCCTACTTATCATTGGATATAAAAACTTCAGGCTTTATATCACTTACAAGTGTGGAATTTTTAGGATCATTTTCAACATTTATCGTGCCCCAACTACCGTTCCCTAGTGCAGTCATCACTGACAAACCGATTTTGTTAACTTAAATCTCTTTCGTAATAGCCTGAATAAGGCAAAGTGGTGAAAACACCTCTCACGAAACAGGGCTAAAATATTATCCTGACTTGAGGTCGCGCAAGACTTACGAACGCCGTTGGTCGCGCCGTAAACGGAGCTGCATGGCAAAAAAATGAATAAATACCTATGCAAAAAATATGAAGATGATTTAACAATGACCTTCAGGATTTCGGTATATAATGAAATGTTTAAAACATTGCGACTGTGAGTATTATTATTAATTATTTATGGCAGTGCAAAGTGAAGTATTTTTTTCCAATTATTCAGCGCTGCGCTGTTCCGTAACACGGATCAAGTCATGGATTTTCGACATAAAAATTTCATTATTTTCTTTTCGGAGTTTCTTTTATGGAGATCATTATTGGTAAAGCTTTTATGCAAGATTTCCCTAAATTTCTCTAGAAATTTCTGAATATGTAATTTCATTCAATAAATAAATCAATAAGTGAAATAAGATGTGAAAATTTTTGAATATTTTTTAATGGCTTGAAACCAGTGTTATTGAAACCATTGTTAAAAGTGCGGCGCGGCGCGACTAACGAAGTATCCAGGTTGTGTGTAGAGTTAATTGCGAGGCAGAAAGGGAAGTGTTCAAGCTTTAAGCCCTCCAAGGATTCCCTGCTGCAAATATAACTTACTTGAGAATCAAGATTCGACAATTCCGAAGTAGGCTGACCCTGTTGAAGGATTGGTTCTTTGTCCTGCATCTTCTGGACAGGAATGTTGACTGCATCATGTGGCAAAACTGGCACATTGCTTCTGATGACAGCTACCGGCTCATCTCTCGCTGAAGCAACTTCGATTTCTCCCTGGTTTTCACGGCTATTGGGGCTCTGCAGAATTCCATCTTACTGCATGGCGGAATCGGGGCGATGGTCTGATTCTTCTACGCTTTTCTCTTTGTTGTGTTCTGAAATCTGTTGGGTTAAATGATACGTTAACTTTTTTTTTTTAAACGATCAACTTAGTACACGGAAAAAAAATGAAATGGTTGAGAGCTTTTACGATGACGAGGATTCTGCCGGAGATCCACGCGAGTGAAGTGCTTCGATAGAAAAACACCGCTACTTCATGCATTATTAGTCTTTACATTTTCTTATTCCTACCAATTCCATTGGTAGTAAGCTTCCGAATGAATTCACAGCAATTCTATTTCAAAAATGAAAAATGGCCATTTCTACTTAACTTTCTGATTTTATTCGATGCATAATCTCATAAAAATATTTTTCTGTTGAAAAAATTGATGTCAGTGAACCAGTTTTGGAGATATTAAGGATGTTCGGTGATGGGTTGATTAATAAAAAAATGTCTATGTGCCATTTTTTTTAGGAAAAAAATGATTTGTCGATAAACGGCTCTATAACGGATATGTACTCAATCTATCGATACAAAATTTTATACACAAGTGAGAAAAACGCTAATATCTCAAAAACTTTGTATCGATGGATATTCATAATTTGGCTGATCTTGATCGTAGACGCCCAGACGAGTATTTTGAAAAAAGAAAAATTGGAATCTGAGCAGTAATTTGGAAGATATTGAAGAAAATGGGTTCACATATGAAGTTATTTCCGGAAATATGAAGAATATCTGTGGAACTACTCGTCCGATTTCGTCCATCTACAATACCAAACTTCGTTACTATAACACCTGAAATCCTACGGAGTTTCAAGTTTCTATATCGATTATTTTTCAAGTGAATGTGGTAACAAGCAAATTGGTCGAAGAAATGAAAATATAACAATAAAATTCAATTTTTGCACAGCGGGGTGGTTACATTGCTATGCGATGGGATAGGTATCATCGTAACGATTAGTTCGATTTTTAAAAAATGAAATTGGTCCAGTCGTTCTTGATATATTTGTAAAAAATTATTTTTGAGAAATTGCTATATCTCTGTAACCATTCAACCGAACGAGCTGGGATTAAGCACAGATTTGGGTTCCATTGGTACCAATTAAGAACCAGAATTTACTATTTTTTGTAATGAATGTTCTGGGGTTATCGACACAGTTCTAGACATACGCGAAGATACTCATACATGAAACGAAACGTGAATATCTCTCAAAATAAATGGAACTAATGAAGCTCTTGTCCCACGTGTATAAAACACATATACGTACTTTAACCATCTGAGGAACAATCTTCATTGTTGAAGACTTCACCGACTGCGTTGGTTCCCAGGTTAACTTTGGTTTCAATGGCCTCCTTGCATTCTCCAAGGACTTCCTCAGTTGCAATAGGTCATCTGTGGAATTACGTAATTTCTCTTACTATTTTCGGTTTCATTATCTCCTTCTACTGAGGAAAAAATGCGACAATGGTTTTCTATAAATCCAGTTAAAAATTAGGGTAACTTGCCCAGCAGATGGACGACTCCATTTTTTACCAAAAAAACTCCCTCAATCGTCCAGCTATCGGTCTTAACCGTCCATCTATTGGGCAAGTTACGCTACCGTGCCGTATAGTTAAGTAGTTCCAACCACCAAGCACAAAAAGAAATGTAGTGTCAACACTGATAAAAATACATTGAATATATGCTACAATACTGCATTCCTTGGCGACAATATTCTCACATACAGTGAAATTCTTCAGAGCACAGTATTTAATTCTGTGGAATCAGTAATATTTCGTGAATATATTTTGTAAGAATCAGTGTCCTACTTATTTTACTGTGCTACGAGGAACATTGTCCTAATGAAATTTTCAATAAAAAATCATTCAATTTCGTGGAAAAAATCCGGATTAACTACTAATGCTTCGTACTCTTCGTGATAAACTTCACCTGGCAGAGTTCTTTAAACCCAATTGAGGGTGCAAGTATGATAATTTTTCTGGTGTTTTTGTTTCCGTGTAGTATACGATGTTAGCCCTGTACACTCCAACTTTAACTCAAGTTCTAAACGAAAATTCGAATATTTAAGAAGTGTATTTATATGATTCATTCTCATTCTTTTATAATTACTGAGAATTTATGAAATTTTCAGTAATTTCTTCCCTTTTTTTTCCAATTAATCATATGAATACACTCATACAAAAAGACAGACGTACCGTACGCATGATCTTTACACATAATACGGGATAACTTACTGGTGTCGTATCAATTGTTCTTTTTGTTTTTGTTTTTTTTTAAATTTATTTATTTTTTTTTATTTGGATTTTTTTAGATTTTTTTTTTCATTTTTCCGGCATTACGGGAGCGAGAGAGCTTATACCCGAGAGTCACAGAATGTAAATACCGCGCGTATAGATGTTTATACATCAACAATAAAATATTTGATTGCAACATTCTGAGCATTCATAAAAAAAAATGTAGTTCACTCACATGAAGTTTTTGCAATGACAACATCCTTCTCTGCACCATCTTCGAGAATTTTCAGGGATGAGGAGCGACCATTATTTGATGCACGCAGTACTCTTTCTGTGACAGGTAACTTTTCGCTGGAGTTGTTCCGATAAAAGAAGATCTCTTTTAACAGTAACACTTTCATCTTTTGGCTATCAAGGACAAGATATTAAGGAGGAGCAATATTGACACAATTAATCAGTAGATACGTAATTACAGGAATGCGTGATAGTTTCCATAAAACTGTTTTGCTTTCATCAAAATATGAGCCTAATATTTATCCTCCAAATGAAAAAAATTAAAAATTAAAAATGTAAATTATCGTGCAATTATTTCATTAACTGAAATAAAATCAGGAAAATTCTGGTAAAAAGTTTGGTGAAGCCCCACAAACCAATTCCGATTCTACGACAAAAAAAAACTAAAAACAAACAAAGTCGACCCGTGGACCTCTCACTGAATACCTTTTGGCCTCTAGCGCATGCAATGTATAAAGAACAATTTCACGAGTAATTTATGTGTTCAACTAAATTTAATTTATTTAATCTTCTCACCCAATATTTTCATTCTTCTCCAATGATGCACGTTCCTTCAATTTCCTTTTTCGTGTCCCCTTGGCAGGCATCTTCAATTATTATTTTAAAAAAGCACGAGAAACACTGAAATCAACCACACCGGTCACTGCACGACGAGGTGATCAATACGAGCGTTACGCAAATATGAACACTAAAGTCCTCACAACCGAGGGTGACGTTGACTCTGTGCGCACGCTCACGATCCCCCTCGCCGATCGTAACGGGTACCGTGGAGCACAATGGCATCGAAAGAGATCGCTAAAACATCGAACTAAAACGTAAAAAACATCGAAATGATCGATGTACTTGGGCACAAGCTCCGTCTTTCAATTCCCCTGCGCATGTAAACACTGACGCTCCGCGGTTTTTCGGAGAATTTCTGTTCGCAACTGTCGATCGTTAGACTTTTGAGAATTCAACGAGTGATTTATGAAATTCATGATGTTGAGCATTATTTTGTAAATTCAGGAAAAAATTAGTCACAAATAGAATAAATCTCACACTTGAAAGATTGATTATTCCCACGTAATCCTTCAGTGTTCAGGCGTATAAACTATGTGAAAAAGGAGCAACAGTTAATATGAATGATGTTACAATTTTACCGGAAGTACACTCATGCAATTTTTCTTGGTTTTTGCGCAGAGTTCTTTGATAAAATTTCTAGTTTTTCCGCCCGTGAACCCCTGCCTACGGATGCGATGACCAAAAATACTGTTCGTTACTCGCCCGATATCTCATAGAGATATTGACACATTAATACGACTCATTCTATGTAATTATTTTCCTTAATAATTCGTCGAGAGAAATTAATATTACTTCTTGATCATTGGAGAATGAAAGTTCATAAAAAATTCCAACATTCAAAGCGAAGGATTTCTGTGGTAACGATCTGAATCTAAATATTAATTTTACATATTTTTTAAATTGAATTATCGCCTCTGAAATAAAAAAAAAAAGAGTAAAGAAAACCTGTACGATTTTCAAAGTAAGTCTAATGATACAAACTGATTCTCAATTTGTATTGAAATACACATGCAATATACACGAAAAAAAAAGAAATTGAAATTATTTCTAAGTGTTGTTTTTTTGTGTGAACAGTGCGTTATCAATCTGTGATATTCAGCTAATCGGACCAGTTAAGCGATGTATCATACTATTCCAATACATCATACTATTCCAAAATTTTTGAAATTTCTCGGGCAGTTATGCATCGATAGTGATGGTATGTCAACGTTTCGTCGACAGATTTTCATCGATCACGATTCGTCCCCAGCTCTTTGCCAGCGAGATTCCACGATACGTTTAGCGCAGATTCTTTCAAACCTCCACTTTGTTAATCTAAAAAATGCTTCATCAATGTTTTTTCGATGTTTTTGGGATGATAATTTGGTCTCACATCTTGTCAATGTATCATTGAAATTATTAGGAGGGGGAAAGACATGGAATAATGCTAAATCGCAATAGCTTCAACCAGTCGTGACCGACGCGTGGCTGTCGAAAGATAATTGACAATAGTAGATCATTTTTTTTCTCATCATTTACGGTAACGCGAAGCGTAATAATGTGGTCGGGGGAGGATGATACTTTCGAAGGGGTTATCTGTGAAACGAAGGAAATGGTAAAAATTCCTGGGGAGCGCGAGAACACTTGGCTTTATTACCTCAGAGGTTATCGGTATCACGCGGAAATTCGCTCGAAAGAATTATCGGAGGAGGAGAAAGAGAAAAATTTCCGATGTATTTTTAGACGAAAGAACAGAGAGGGCTGTACAGCAAGAGTGGAGACTCTGATTAATGGACAGTTAAAAGTGACCGGTAAACATTATTGTGACAAAGATGAGCTCTTTCTAGAAGAGCGATTGATGTATCACACAATGCAACACGAATCGATCAACACAGACAAGAAGCCCCATAAAATCTTGAACACCACAGCCACAAAGTTCGTATCTTTTCACATTTTATATAAAGTATTATTCCCTCAACATCCATCCTTGTTTAGGCCTCAATTCAAAGACGTGCAAACCCGGTTTTCAAAATCACGCGCTGATAGTCTCATCAGACGTGCATCTAAACCCCTACGCGCTGTTCCCGATCATTTGGAAGATCTCGAGGACGGATTTACAAACGATTCCACACACCCTTTGCGTGACTATTTCAGGGGGAAAGTGAAATTTATTGATAAAGAGATGAAAGAACAAGTGGCCTTTATCTTCATCTCCGACAAAATGATAAAAGAATTGAATACAGCAAGGAAATTATTCATCGATGGAATTATGAAGGTAAATGTAATAATTTTATTACATAACTTCTTGGCAAACTCTGAAAAAATTGTCCACTCGAATAAACTGATTCAGTGGTTTTCTCTCGTTTAGCGTTCCAATTCTCAAGACAATATTCCAAGAAAAAGTACAAGCCAATTTCAAGGCAGTATCTGCTATTTTAAAATATCTTTGAATTGCTGCGGGTTACCTAAATATGCACGAGAATTTCATTCATAGCTTCTATTTCTCTTCTCATGTAAAATTAATACAAAATTTTGCCTATTCTCCATATAGGAGAAAAAACACGAATTACTGGAAAAGTCGATCAATCGTAAGATGAAACTCCGTCCGTCTTCTTGATTCTGTATCAAGCAAAACAATGCGAGAAGGACAATAAATTTTCTCTGCTCACCGAAAAAAACGTTGGAATGAGCCAAATAAATATTTCCCACTATTTTTGGGGTCATTAACGTGGAGGAGGGGGTTGCATGTATCGATCAGTAAATTCCAAAAAATTGAGAAGTATACACCGGTTCCGGATCAAAAGGCATTTCATGATATGTTGTTTTTTTTTTACCGAAAAAATTATGTTGTGTCAGTTTTTAGTGTGATTGATGCGGGGGCGTACAATATTGCTATAGAAATGCGCCTGAAATTTCATATGAATTCAAAAAAATAGAGAATGATGAAAAGAGATGCTATTGGAGGCCATTTTGGAATAGGATAATTCGAAAAACTATTGTTTTTTTATTTCTTGAGATTATAAATGCGTAAGAGGAAGTTGCTGATTAGATTGTAGCTATATGTTTGAATTTTCAATGAACTATAAAAATGGAGAAGGATTGAAACATACCTCATTGAAGGGTATTTTGCGATTCGCTAATTTTTGCGACCCAAATCATTTTTTTTTCTCGATTTTTGGGACCATTAACGTGGGATTAACGTGTAGGAACGGGTTGCAGCTAGCTGCATACACCAGGAAATTTCAAATCAATTTAAAAAAATAGAGGAAGATGAAAGGAAACTNACAGATCTGGCCCAGCCTTGGCCGGACACTGGCATGCCGGAGCTCGATAACCAAGCCTCAGCCAGCGGTGGCCCGGAGCTTGGTCATTGGGCTCCAGCCGTTGGTGTAACTGTAAGGGTTAAGTCGTAAGGGTGAGATGATGAGAATGGAATCATAGGGGTGGAATCATAAGGGTAAAATCTGAAGAGTAAAATTGTAAGGGTCAAATCGCAATAATGGAAAGGGGCGAAAAAATCATAAGACTGACATTCTGAGGGTTGAATGGTAAGGGTGGAAACTTGAGGGTAAAATATTAAGGATGTAATCGTAAAAAAATGGTGACATTGTAGGTGTTGAAGTCACATGTTACTCGCTAATTATTACGAAAAGAAGAAGAATCGTCATTCAACAGTAATCCCAATTGTTACAATTATTATTGTAATTAATTATTATTATTATTATTATTCATTATTGAATTAATTCACCGATTAAACTGTAGTTGAATCACTTGATATTTCTATCAACTGAATAATAAAACATTCAAGTCGAAAAAAACCGAGATGTAATTAATATGGAAGATGTGAAGTAGAGGTTTTACGAATTGCGCGGTAGACTAGTGGTTAGGGCGTCGGATTAGTAGTCGTGAGGTCGGGGGTTCGAGCCCACGTTAGGGGGTAATATTTTAAGTTAACAAAATCGGTTTTTCAGCGATGATTGCGTTAGGGTTTGGTAGGTAGGGCACAATGAATACTAAAAATCATCCTAAAAAATGTTAATTATTTTGTTTTTGTTATTATTGATAATTGCCATGAACAGTTTGGCAGCCAGTGCGGCACCAGTCGCATGCCGGTATTGATTTTTTTTCCTCGTTGAACCTATTACGAATGCTGAGGAGTAATATTAAATTACTTGTATTTCAATCACCCATATTATCATATTCATGTAATTAAGTAATGTTTAATTGAGCCTGGCCAACGACTGACAATCAACGCTGGGCCGAGATGAGCGCCCAGACCTGGCCCGATGTTATCATTCCAGGTTTCAACCAAGTCCGGCGCGATCCCGGTTGAGGAACGGGTCCCGAAGTTCGGCAGGCCGGCCACCGGGCTTGGGCCAAGCTCGGCCCATTCGTTTTTTCGTACGTGGGATAAGGGATTTTACGAAACAGTAGAGTCTCCCTATGATTTCGGCTTCGGNGCAGATGGAAAGAAAGAAGAATATATTAGACAAATACTCAAACGCCTTTTACCTCCTGGAAAATTCGTAGTAGCTAACAAACCTCTCTTTTCCGTAGAAAGTATCCTTACTCACCTAATCAAGAGATTTAGAGGTCAATACCACTTCGAGTATTATGTGAATAGAATACGCGGGCTGTTGAAAATTAAAAATGAACCCCTGGAATCGCTCTTGGAGCGATTGACAACACTGGTCCAGTTTGGTCTGGGTACGGTTTCTGGGGAAAATGAAGCTGAGAAAAAAGTCCTCGAAAAATACCTCCAGACAGAGGTGATAAAACGATTTAAAGAATATGCCCCTGCAAGCGTGAAGGAAAGTATTAGACGGAATAACCTCAAGAAAATCTCAGAAATCCTTACACAACTGGAGATAGACGAATTCCGAAAAACAGTCAAAGTACCAGCGTTGGAGATTGCTGATAACGGGCACAACAGGTACATCACGGAGTATCCCTTAATTCCAGTACATTCAGGGGGCTCTTTACCGCCTGAACTCAATGGGGAACAAATACCACCTCAGCCGAGATATCAATACCAACAAAATCGATCGTACAGTTAGTCGTATAATCAGTCCAATACTCCGACACCATCGTCAAACCATGGTCATCGAAATTATTCAGGACAGAGGCGAAATCATGACCTTTCCCGAGACCTGGTCACCGTTCTCCTAAATGAATATCTGCCATCGAACCGGAACAGGCAAGGCAATGGGTACAGACAAACACCACCTCGACCATCAGTATCACCACCGTCTATACCAGCACACACAGCTCCTCCTGGTGACCCTCCTGCGCGAAGCTTCAACTCCGTCATCGCCTACGATCAAACTCCAAACGACGAGGTTGAATCTGACTATGAGGGATTAACGGGAGCCGCAGAAAACCCTACCACGGATCAGATACTAGCTCTCGCTAACATCTTGGCAGCTAACCAACATCCTCATGCAGCCCCATCCAAACCTAAACAGAACCCTTGGGATATGGACGAGATCAAAAGTATGCTACAGCAAACCACAGCCCCACTCCAACAGCTTGCGATGAGTTTGAACAACCTGCAAACTCAGAATCGTCCATCGTTAAACCGTAGACCACTCTCCAGCTCTCCTTCAAGGGAACGAGAAGGGAGAAATATCCTGCAGAATCCTACGAGAACTCAGCAGAACAGAACCAGCACATCCATAGATGGAACCATTCCAAAGAAGACTTTAAATGAGATTGTTGCTCGCCTACTGAGTGCGATGACGAGCAGCCAAAACCAGCACTCACTGCACACAATGTCGAGCATGCATCCCAGACAGTAAAACCCATGCTGTGTAGAGTTACCAGTCAAATATCATCTCCCCAGGTGTAAATGCATTAATCGACACTGGAGCCTCCATAAACCTGATTGCGTTCCAGTCATTGGTGGAAAACGCCCTCATCGATACCACAGAAACAATCGGAATCGTTGGGTTGTCCAATCACGTCCTGAACTCCCTCGGAGTAGTTCGCCTTGCAGTGCATTCTGAAGTGGAAATAAAATTCCATGGGTAATGTATCACTAACCGTGGCTCTATTTTTTTTTAATTTTTTTTTTCCTCTTATATATAGTTTATTAGTTGTTGTAATCTATGAAGAATAACTGCAATTAAGTTGTTATTATTATTCTCTAAGCTCACTAAAGTGGCAGAACAACATCCTCAATGAAACTCCCAGAGGGAAGCCTCCCTAATACCTCGAATTCACAATCCAGTCAATTAATCAATTTCCTCCTAATTAATTGCACTATTATTCTTCGTATCGCTCTCGGCTTATAAGCCAGGGTCACGAAACGTGGACGTGACGATACCAGACCCCAAAAGATAACCCTCATACCGACCACCACAATTTCCTGCTGGATTTAAGATGGTATTTGAAGAGTTTGCAAACCATCATAACCTCCGCCTCTCCATCCTGAGGCAATAATTAATATGAAAGATGAGATGATTAAAAATAATTAAAATAAAACATGAAAATGATGTATGTTGGAACAACACCTAAGCCCGACGTCTTTTTTAACCTTGTGACGAGGCGATTCTTTATTTTTATTTGTTTTTATTTTATACTTTGCCCAACTACACACTGCCCCCTAAATAATAAAATCCCGCCACCGTTGGATACCCCTTCCCTCGATTTTCCCCTCATCGCCCCTCTACTCCTGCCACTGGATATCACGAAGACATCAGCCGAAGAAAGACAACAGTTCCGGCCCTACCGGATAAACTGAAGGAGCCATTGCTCCCCCCACAAACCACCCATACATGGGCCTCGGCAACCCACCGCCCTCGACGATCCCAGCGAGACATCCCTGGATTGTGCTCATCGTCACCACTCACCCGTACTGATTGGGCCCGATTGCTCCCGAATTCCAACCCGAAGGACTTCGGCACCTGATAAACCCCCACGAATCACGGAGAAAACGAAGGGACCGACACTCGTGTAACCGCTATCCTGGACACTGCCACGTGCGCCCCAAGTTAATTGAATTGTCAGTGAACATACCTCAAAGTCGATATATTTGGATTTTGTTGGGATAAAGAGGATTTTTGGTGCCCGAGCTCATCCCGGCCGTAGTTACTGTGCCCGTGGAATCCAGAAGGAGGAACGAAGGCTCAATCTCTGGAGTCATCGAAGGACTCGGATTAGCCCAGAACTGGAAGTCGTGAGTACGAGTTGTCCCCCTCATTTCCCCCTCGCCTCAAGAAGTATTCCTTTCTATATCCCCCAACGGTGAGTCTACAC